CTTCCGATCTGGCTAATCTACATGCCTCCGTCGAAGGAGGCATGTAGTCTAGACACACCCTTACTGTATAGATGAGTACACCCTTTTTAGCAAGAAAGAACCAACTTGACTTTCAGATCCAGGAGAACGTGACGGGCAACTAGATTTTTAAAAATCTTTTAAACTATAAACTGAGCAACTTTGGTGTTGGGTTGCACTGCTTGGAAAACCACCAACGTTGTGATAAACTATTTCACTGGGGGAACGTAGGAGTTGGGATCAAAATTGAATTTTAAATCAAAATTAAGATGAATTTTGATCAAAATTCCACGTTTTGTGGAAAAGCATCCGTACCAATCTAGACGTGCTTTTGCGCAAAAAAGCACCAATCGCCATTTTCACAATCGGGGCTTTTTTGCGCAAAACAAATCTGAGCTGTCTACACTGGCCCTTTTGCGCAAAAGGACTTTTGCCTGAACGGGAGCAGCATAGTAGTTCCGCAAGAAGCATTGATTTCTTACATGAGATCGTCAGTGTTCTTGCGGAAATTCAAGCGACCAGTGTAGACAGCTGGCAAGTTTTTCCGCAAAAGCATTTGCTTTTGCGGAAAAACTTGCCAGTCTAGACGCAGCCTAACTATATAGAATTGCTGATGGCTTACCATCAAAAGGATATCATTTTTACTGGGAGGAGTCCTGCTGGTTGGCACATTTCCTTTCGCTACCATGACTATCCCCCTTTCAGGGCTGGATGCAGATACCATTGGAAAATTGATGTGAGTCTTTCCATTGACTTCCATGGGCTTTTGATCAGTCTCCCATGGATCTATTGGTAGATTCATTTTTCTACAGTGAGAACAGGACACAAGTGCATCCTGACAAAAATGTAAGTGGTTGCCTTGTGCCCATCTACTACTGTTTGCACTTTTAAGTATTCATAGTGATTTGCAAAATGGGACTGGTTTTAGAACATGATCATACAGTGTGATTTTTATGGCACACTGAATGTGAACATGTTTCATGAAAACCTGTTAAACCATTAAATATTCTTTAAAAAAATGTGTGTGGTGGGTCTCTCTGTCTGGTAAGGCTTGCCTCTGAAATATCATTCCTTAGGTAGGAACTCTCCCCTCAAATAGACTCCATACCTTCTTACTCTGTGGGTTTCACAAATTTTTTCTTCATATGGTGGTCCTTATGTGTATTCTATTTATGGTGTGCACGTGTGTGCCATGTGCCTGAGTCTGAAAGTGTTTTGCAGCGTGCCTCTTGACCTGCATGTATGTCCTAAATTTCCTCTTGCTCTCAGCTGAAGGTATAATAGGCAGTGCAGGTCGATGCCACTCCATTTGCCAGTTATGATCACATGGCATGAGTTGGAACCCCTTGTTCCTCTCCAGCTTAGCCTGCTAAGATAACAAGGAGTCCGGTGGCCCTTCAGGCATTTCTACACTCCAGCATCTACACTACCGAGCCTGTTATTTCTAAATAATTCCTGCTTGTGAAAAGTAATAAGCTATTGCAAAATAGTTATTTGGGGAGTTGTTATTTTGAAATAAATAGCCTGGTAATATAGACATAGCCTCAGAGAACTGATGGGCAGGATTCCCTGGGATGCTAACATGAAGGGGAAAGGAGTCTAGGAGAGCTGGCAGTATTTAAAAAAAAAACTTATTGAAGGCACAGGAAGAAACCATCCCAATAAGCAATAAGAAAAACAAATATGATAGGAACCAGATTGGCTTACCAGGGAAATCCTTGGTGAGCTTAAACACAAAAAGGAAGTTTACAAGAAGTGGAAACTTGGACAGATGGTTAGGGAGGAGTATAAATAGATTGCTCGAGAACGCAGGGGAATTATCAGGAAGGCAAAAGTGCAATTAGGATTGCAGCTAGCAAGGGATGTGAAGGGTAACAAGAAACATTTCTACAGGCATGTTGGCAATAAAAGGGTAATCAGAGAAGGTGTGGGGCCCTTACTGGATGAGGGAGGTAACCTAGTAACAGATGATGTGGGAAAAGCTGAAGTACTCAATGCTTTCTTTGCCTCTGTCTTCACAAAAAAGGTCAGTTCCCAGACAAATGCACGAGGCAACACAATATGGGAAAGAGATGGACAGCCCTTGGTGGGGAAAGAACAGGTTAGGAACTATTTAGAAAAGCCAAACATACACAAAATCCATGGGTCCAGAATTTATTCATCCAAAGGTTCTGAGGGAATTGGCAAATGTCATTGCAGAGTCTTTGGCCATTATCTTTGAAAACTCGTGGAGATCAAGAGAGATCCCAGATGATTGGAAAAAGGCAAATGTAGTGCCCATCTTTAAAAAAGGGAAGAAGGACAATCCACGGAACTACAGTCCCCGGAAAAATCATGGAGGGGATCCTCAAGGAAGACAATGGAGCAAGTAATTAAGGAAATCATCTGAAAACGCTTGGAAGGTGGCAAGGTGATAAGGAACAACCAGCATGGATTTGTAAAGAACAAATCATGTCAAACCAATCTGATAGGATAACGAGTCTTGTGGATAAGGGAGAAGCAGTGAATGTGGTATACCTAAACTTTAGTAAGGCGTTTGATACGGTCTCACATGATATTCTTATCAATAAACTAGGCAAATACAACTTAGATGGGGCTACTATAAGGTGAGTGCATAACCATACTCAGCGAGTAGTTATTAATGGTTCATAATCCTGCTGGAAAGGTATAACAAGTGGGGTTCCGCAGGAGTCTGTTGTGGGACCGGCTCTGTTCAATATCTTCATCAACGATTTAGATATTGGCATAGAAAGTACACTTATTAAGTTTGCAGATCATACCAAACTGGGAGGAGTTGTGACTGCTCTGGAGGAAAGGGTCACAATTCAAAATGATCTGAATAAATTGGAGAAATGGTCTGAGGCAAACAGGATGAAGTTTAATAAAGACAAATGCAAAGTGCTCCACTTAGGAAGAAACAATCAGTTTCACAAATACAGAATGGGAAGCGACTGTCTAGGAAGGAGTATAGCAGAAAGGGAGAAATTTAAGAGAACGTTAGATAAATGTCCATTAGGGATGATCTAGACAGTATTTGGTCCTGCCATGAGGGCAGGGGACTGGATTCGATGATCTCTCAAGATCCCTTCCAGTCTTAGTATTCTATGATTCTATGATTTTGAAGCACTTGGAAGAAGAGACAGTGATCAGGAAACGTCAACATGGATTCACCAAGGGCAAGTCGTGCCTTACCAATCTGATTAGCTTCTATGATGAGGTAACTGGCTCTGTGGATATGGGAAAGTCAGTGGATGTGATATACCTTGATTTTAGCAAAATTTTTTATACGGTCTCCAAAAATATTCTTGCCAGCAAGTTGAGGGAGCATGGATTGGATAAATGGACTGTAAGATGTCTAGACTGCTCAATGTCAGGTTGACAATCTGTTTCTAGCGGATTGCTCCAAGGTTCGGTTCTAGGACCGGTTTTGTTCAACATCTTTAATAATGACCTGGATGAGGGGATGGATTGTACCCTCAGCAAGTTTGCAGATGACACTAAAGGTACGTCTGCACTACCACCCTAGTTCGAACTAGGGTGGTAATGTAGGCAACCGGAGTTGCAAATGAAGCCCGGGATTTGAATTTCCTGGGCTTCGTTTGCATAAAGCCGGGCGCCGCCATTTTTAAATGTCCGCTAGTGTGGACTCCGTGCCGCGCGGCTACACGCGGCACAGACTAGGTAGTTCTGAGTAGGCTTCCTAGTCCGAACTCATTTTTAAATCCCTGCTCGTTCAAACCCCGTGCCGCGTGGCTACACGTGGCACGGACTAGGTAGTTCGGACAAGGATTCCTAGTCCGAACTACCGTTACTCCTTGTTTCACAAATCCCGGGCTTCATTTGCAACTCCGGTTGCCTACATTACCACCCTAGTTCGAACTAGGGTGGTAGTGTAGACATACCCTAAGCTAGGGTCACCTAATGTCTCCCCAGGTGGCTCTTCCTTCCTTCCTCCCCCCGTTTTTGAATTATCTTGGGTCACCAAGTCTTTCTGAATTGTCAAAATGGGTCCCCATGGGAAAAGGTTGGGAACCACTGCATTGGGAGGAGCATTGCCAGCAGATCTAGAGAAGAGACTATTTCCCTTTATTCAGCTCTGGAGAGTTCACATCTGGAGTACTGAGTACAGTTCTGGGCCCCCCCGTCTATAGAAAGGATGTGGATGCATTGGAGAGAGTCCAATGGAGGGCAACCGAATGATTAAGAGGGCTGGAGCACATGACCTATGAGGTGAGACTGAGGGATTTGGGCTTGTTTAGTCTGCAGAAGAGAAGAGTGAGGGGAGATTTGATAGCAGCCTTCAACTTCCTGAAGGGAGGGTCCAAAGAGAATGGAGAAAGGCTGTTCACAGTAGTGACGGATGGCAGACCAAGACCCAGTGGTCTCAAGTTACAGTGTGGGAGGTCCAGGTTGGATATTAGGAAAAACTAGTTCACTAGAAG